TGGGGGGGGGGGCCTAGGAATGTTTTTCCGAAGTCTATTAAACTCTCCAAGGATTTTATATAATGTTTAAGACATGACTTACGTCTATCCCATACACATCGTAGCAATTTGCTAGTCATTGGAATCGGCAGGGCTTCGAAAAAAATTTTGACCTGGGGGGAGGGTCTAGAAATTTTTTCTACGCTACGCCCGGACGACCCCCCCCCCGCGCTAAATATCGAACAGTCCCTTATTTAGAACCCTTATCCCTGCGCTCCCAACATAAATGGTAGAACGGGCCTCTGCTTGTTGTCGATAAATGTTATCATGCCAAATATGTGTATTTCATAGCTGTATTTTCTGAATTTTGTGCCTTATATTGTAATTTGTGTGTTCACCTCCTGACCATGTACATATATACTACTATATCATGGAATTTCAGATATATGAATGAATGAATGAATGAATGAATGAATGAATGAATGAATGTATGTTTATTTTCGTGTCATTGCGACCATACGTCGCCCAGCCCATATGCTTGTAAGACACCGACAATTATAAAATATTAACAATTCAAAAGGTACAGAGAGTCAGAATCAGATATAACATATATAATAACTTAACATAATATATAACTAAATAAATACAGGAAATTAAGTAGTACTAATCATAATCACTAGTCATAATAATCTCCAAGCAGATCTTTTGGTGGGGGTAAGACAGTATCAAATTGACCAGTCTGTATCCATTTCCCCATCCAAGATCTGCCTCCAGTCGAAACATCAAAGGCTATTAACACCTAGTTGTTGCCTGATCAAAATATTCTTGCCAAGTTGTTTATTGCCCTGACCACCAGGCAAGGCTCTTGCCCTCCTAGTGGGCCAGCTGGTTGAGCATTACTCTCTATGGGTCCCCTCACCAACTGTTATTTTGTTCAGTTTAACTAAAGGAAAGAAGGTCCAACATATGTTTTGTAATATCTGCGGTTTTGAACCACAAGGAGCCCAGTTATTGACATTTCTATGTTTCAGCCAGCATATTTTAGTACCAGCATACAGTATTATCTGGACAGGGTTAGGCGAGAACTCCCACTGAGATGTGCGCGGGTGACTGCATTTGTCCCAGATTCAAGCTATAAACCGCTTGTAAAAATCTTAGCACAACAAATTTTTGAAAGTTGTTAATAGGGACACAAGGAGGGGCAGCAACACCATTTTTGAAAAGAAGTGCTCCTCCCTGTTCGAGTGCCTGCAGATCTTGGGTGGGGAAATGGATACAGACTGGCCAATTTGATACTGTCTTACCCCCGGGCCCCACCAAAAGATCTGCTTGGAGATTAGGTCATAATACAGAAATCAAATCAAATGTAACATAGATGATAAATAATAATAATAATTAATATAGGTTTAACCAAAATTAATTATGCATAAAAGTAACAAGAGGTAACTGTCACTTGACTGTTACATACACAGAACCAACTTAACAGAAAAGTGAACAGGTAAACGTAACAAGGAAAGAGGAGAACCAACCTGAAAATGACAGTAAGACGAAATAAGATCAACCTGTTATGAATAGATGTGGAGTTTACGTTTTTTTTCCAGGCCTGCTGTAAGTATGTCGCCATTTCAAACACTCCCTCTGTAAATAACCACTTCAGTTTTGGTTCATCCCTATTCCAGATAAGTTCAGGTCGTCTCTTGTACATCTTAACGAAGAGTGCCTGACGTGAGTTGTAAGTTGTTCGGGTACTCACCAGCACCTGCCTTTGGTAGCGGACACTGAGGGAGTGTCGCCCCTGCTCATTGAGGAGCTCGCGGCAGATCACAACATATATTATAGACCACAATATACATACAAAACTTGCGACCACCCCAATCCAATACCCCTACCCCCACCGTGCTGGAGCCCTCAAACGTTTGAGGTTAGCGCGAAAAAGGAAGAAGAAGAAGGAGAAGATAAAGGACAGTAAAACATAAAGTGAGCCTCATTTTCTACTTCTTGTAAATCACACAGCAGATAGTCTGACTCCCCTACTGGAATGCCCCGATATCTTCCCGTTTCAATACACAAAGGTAATTATAATATTCCAGATCTAAACTGGGCACAAAGAGATCTTGTAAGGGGTAAAGTAAGATATTTTTATATCAATTTTTTATATCATATATATCAAATTAATACATTATATTCATAAGTCGTCTTTATGACTTGGAATCCGAGTTAATACACCAGTTATACCAGTATTAAAGAAGCGTAACCATGTGTACCAGTCTATCAAGACGAGTTCGTAGTCTTGTTTAAATTAGACCTTGTCGACCCTTGTCTGTTCGACAGATAATAGCTCAAGTGGTGACGCCTACATTTCTATTGAACCAACCACTGTAATGTTTGGGTTACGATATTGTGTAATGCTTATAATTTGAACAATATGTATTAACGCTTTACGTATGTTGCAGTCTACTTTTCACAAAACGATACTAGCATCTGTATCGGAATAGCCGGTATAACCGCCCTTCGGCGTAACACACCAGCTTCGCAATGTATGCATATTAGTAATTGAAAAAGTCACGGTCTGCAGCCCACATTATCATCACCTTGCTCTAAAAAACAGTGCATAACTTATAATAACACTGTTATAAATTGTGTTTAAAGTTTCACTTCAAACCAAGGACGTTCTATCATATGATAAAACAGTCTAGCATTTTTAATAAAATTTTAAAACACCAACTTTTTTTGTGTTGTTGATATATCATTATGTTCCTAGGAAGTTGTTGAAATCATGGGATCATGAGAAAAAAAGATGTGTGTGGTTTGGTCGGTATACATACTAGTTTCTATTATTTTAATTAATTATTAATTTCAACGACTGATGATGACTAAAATCTGTTTTTGTTATAAGTGGTAGCCTAAAATAAGTCTTTGTGCCGTAATAATTTTTTAAATGTTTAAATAAAAAAAAATCAGGCTCGCACTTAGCATATGTCAAACATCAGTCTACTCTAAAGATTATCAGACCGGTGTTCTTATATATATTGACCAATATAATATACAGCAGTGGGTTCTCAAAGAACTAGAGTTTTATTACGCGTTTTTCTGGCTATTTTGAAAAACGGTATTTTGGACTGTACGTCCCTCACCGTCCCACAGCTCCTTACTGCAGCCCAAGACAGGAGGACCTGGCTACACTCCTGCTGCAAAGTCTGCCTTGTCCCCCCGACGACCAGTGTCGGTCATGGGACTAGGTAGGTAGGTAGTAGGTATTTTGGACAAACCCCAAAATAGCCTCGCTATGGTGACCGAATAGCCTCCCCAGACTGAATGTCCAAATGCGCGACGTAAAGTAGTGCGGACAAAAAGAGGAATATTTAAGATATGTGTGGCCAATTTTGCCTGAGTTGTTAGGGTCTTACTACGATAATTTTTACATTTGTACAATTTTGACGATGTTGGCTCTCTACTTCATTTCTAATTCGTAGCAGCATTTGCGTGCGCATTATTATAGACGGAATGGTTCGGTCGTGTGAATTCAGTGCAAGGCGGCCATGTGAGGTGAGGGCCTGTCTCCTTCTCTCTCCTTTCTTTAATAGAATTGCGTATATTTTCGTATTTTGTCTCGTTTTTGACGCCTCAGTAGTTATCATGTAGTGTAGCAGTGTTGACGGAGAGTTAGTTTACTTGGTTAACGTTGTTACTGGTGAGGAAACATTGTTTTTGTAAGGGTCGTGACGCGGAGTCATGCTCGTTGCCTGATGCAGACCGGGAAGACGATATTTTGCCAGAATCCTCTCCAATATTCTACAGTAACTGTAACCGTTGGTGTTTTCTGAGTAAAGTCTAGAGCTGGTTGTAAAACTAAGTCAGTTTTCTGTCACCAAACCATGGGCCGGGGTGGCGAGGTCAGGCCACACAGAGCCACAGACATATGATTCTAAGAACAATTAAGCCTCGGATTCATGAGAGAACAAATGCAGCTGGCATTGTGTTTGTGAAGTTATTTTGAAATTCATAATTTCTCTGACCTAAAGTATTATTAACATATTAGGTTATGACACTACGAGAACTAATCTACTGTTTTGGTCATTTATAATTGTAGCAATTGTATGTTTACTAGAAGGTTCAATTTGGTTCAATTGCCTTAATTTCTCCCGTAAGCTTCTTGATCTTAGAAATTAGACACAGTTCTCATGCCACTATGCTCTTATAGTGATAGCAGGGTTTTAAAATTTTTATCTAGCGGACATAGTTAATTTCAAAAGGGAATTCTCCTTACTAGAAAATGATACAAGTAATGAGTTTATTTTAATCTACAACTTATTAGTATAGTTTTAGGTCTTTAGTTGGTTTCTGTTATACATAGCATGACATTATGGTTGTGTGCTTTTTTGTTTGTTGTTCTACAGCTCATCCCAGATAGAGATGATTCTGACAACACAGGCGTTCAGCATGGCACATGGGTCTAATGATACCTACATTGCTTGGAGTCTACACAAGTACAACAACAAGTTGTTTCAACATCTACAGCAAAATGCTGAGGCAACACAGTCAGTCCTTGGAGAACAACAGTAGCAGCTAATACATAGCCTCAACTTCTCTTGTCATCTAGTCGTTAAGTCTCTACATGTATATCCATGCACGGATATGGATTCAACCTTGCACCTTGATAGGTTATCGCGACAAGCCACCGGATTAAAGAGACAAAAAACAAAGCTTCACTTTTATGGTCAGTCTCTCTAAACTTATTGGGAATGACGTGTGTAGTATTGCGGTATATCATGACCTACAATTCTACTGGATTGGGCGGTTGCCTCATCCACACATGAACAACAGTAGCTGGTAACATGAATCTCCCTGTTACACCCAATACTATATAGTAATGGGTGGCAGAGCAAGGACCTTTTGGTACTGGTAGAACATCCAGCTTACTCAGGGTGTGTTAGTCAGAGCTACTATATAGTCATACAGCTGTCAAGCCTCTTGGAAACCCAGACTTCGGGGACTGTGCTTCTGGCTCAGTGGGGGCTTGTTCAGCTAAGTTAGATGGGCTTGCTGGATGTTAAAGGCCACAAAATTTGATACATTCAACTTGCTCTTCCCTAATATTCCTGATAATATTCTTGTACATAACCAGTTCAACAAAATATGGAGTATTGCTCCCACAGATACCTACACTGACTTAACTCGGACATAACATCTTGCAATGTATTGACTTTGTTTACGTTGAATGTTTTGAACATGCGACTTGAGTATAGAGTATCCTGGAGGGTTTACTTCACAAGAAACTTGTCATCCTTCTTACATCATGTCAAAACGTTTCCAAAATATACATAACTACACTATTTTTAGCATGACAGGCAGTCATCTAGCATTGACTTAGGACGAGGAAGAAGGAGAAGACATGTTTGAAGTGAGGGGATTGAAAGAGGGCAAAACCGTTCGCAAAACTTTGATATCTCAGCGTCGTTGAGCTCCGAAACAATACTGTACAACTCTTTCCGCAAACCTCTTGCCCCACACCATAAAAGCGTTCATTGGGCGCTTATCATTTTCAACGAGGAGCCATGCTGTAAGCTTTTCCCCTAGACACGAAAAGTACAGAAGCTGAGACGATGTTTCCTGTATCTGACCCTACAATGTCTGAGGAGGAGGGCGGGAACATATTGTGCCTGACCGCCTTATGTCTGTCTATGAAACAGCTCACCCATTTCAGGATGATCCCACTCCCAACTGGTTTTGCTTCTGGCTCTTGAATCACAAGTGCCGAACGGCCCTTTTCCTTGCACATGTTGAACGGTAGCTTCCTGTACCGTACAAGTACAAGAAGACAGATGAAGTAGGCGATGTAGGCGATGTCACACTGCAGACCGACGATGTCCCTCTCTTATTTCATATGAAGATCCTCCAGAGAAATGAAGGTGGTGTCATCATTGTCGAAGCGGTAAATTTGTAGGATAAGTGGAATTTTAATGAACAAAGCTGTGGTTCTAATTCTGGTAGTAAAGTTAACCCTTGCCATCTAGGGTTGGAGCTTCACGGCATGCTAGGTTAGAGCATCTCAGACATGCCAAATGCGAGGTGGATTCTTCTCCTCCACTTGTCACATCATATATAGTTTTGTAAGGCATAGGGTTACTGTAACATTAATTGTTTATTATCTCATTCCTACTCCCATTGGTCACAAATTCTAATGGCTACTACTACTGCTGGCTGGATGTCCTTCCTAACGCCAAAGTGTTAAGTTTGACAGCTTTTAACAGACATTGGCTGGGTAAGCCTGCAATGTAGTTAACCAGAAGAGGCGATAAAAGATTGGTAGAAACTAAAAAAAAGTACGGATTAGGATGCAGCTTGTGGGAATCGTCTGAAATATTTGGCTGATAACAAAAGAAAAAAGTGTTCACAGGCGATCTCCAAAGTTTGTCAAGTTAGGGCTCCATGTTTCTAATTGAATATGGGACGTTCCATTCATAACAATTTTTGTGCATCTCAGCCCAAAATTTTTAGAAGAATTTAAGCCATGAACAGGCTCAGTGTTGGATGTGATAAAAATCAGTACATCTGTAATTCAGCAACTTACCGTAGCGTTCTGGGCGCCTTCTTACTCGCAAGCCTCTCCAGGGCTGAAACAATGAATAGATGGATATAGATATGTATCCCGAACCTTAGGGCAATTTCTGTTTCACACTGACTTGCACTGACACATGCACACACACACACACACAGACATTCATACACCTTCATAAACACACACATTCACACACACACACACACACACACACACACACACACACATTCTAACACATTCACACACACACACATACACACACACACACACACACACACATACACACACACACTTACAAAAGCTACCAAAAACGTTCCAAAGGTACACAACATGCAGAAATACAAACACATAAAGCACCAACTCGTACTGGGTCAGGTGGTGGTACTTGGTTCTGGGCATTTTGGGCAAGACAAGAAAGAGTACTGCACCACAACTTTATTCAGAAAAACAGCCAGGAGGGCGAGCCTCACCGGCTTACCTACATTGTTTGCTGCACCAGACATTCTCAAATCGTTTGCCATTCCGTCCGTCATATACAAGATATTTCCAATGCCATACATATAGGACTTCTGACCAATTTTAATTTGAGACGCCAGGCTCGTTCTTGCAATCTTGAGCAAAGTGGCCCTGAAGCATTTGCCCGGCTTGGGGCCGGGCCTCGACTTTCCCTTCCCTCTTGTCTTTGAAGTTATTACCACTAAGTGTCGGCCATGGACGCCTTGCATTTGGCTGTACCCGCTCTGAGCATCTCTCCTTGGAAGTTTACGAATTGTGCAATATCTCTAGCCACCTGCTTCACCAGCCCGCTACCATACATGTCCCTGCCCTTGTGTGTGCTGGTAGCGCTGTACCGGTCCCTGCCCTTTTATGTGCTGAAAGCGCTGTACCGGTCCCTGCCCCTGCTGGAAGCGCTGTACCGGTCCCTGTCCTTGTGTGTGCTGAAGGTGCTGTACCGGTCCCTGCTGAAAGCGCTGTACCGGTCCATGCCTCTGCTGGAAGCGCTGTAACGGTCCCTGCCCTTGTGTGTAGTTGAAGCGCTGTACCGGTACCGGTCCTTGTGTGTGCTGGAAGTGCTGTACCGGTCCATACCCTTGTGTGTGCTGGAAGTGCTGTACCGGTCCATGCCCCTGCTGGAAGCGCTGTACCGGTCCCTGCCCTTGTGTGTGGTTGAAGCGCTGTACCGGTACCGGTCCTTGTCCTGTAGTGTGCTGGAAGCGCTGTACCGGCCTATGCCCTGGTTTTTACCATATTAATACAAAAATGTTTTCAACGGACAAATGTATAAGAATTTTAACATAAATATGAAGTTGAATTCTTTCCATTTTTTTTTAATTGGTCAATTCTAATGTGTTGAACAGTGACTGACCCAGTTGGGGTTTTCTTTGTAGTGGACATTTTCAGCACAGGGTGTTACTTAAGGCAGTGGCGCACATAGTGATCAAACAAATCTGTCCTGTCTGTAAATCTTGAGTACGATTCGGCAGACAGTGTCCTCTGTGAGTCCAGGGGCAGGTGTAGTCACCTCTGGAATTTTGTGTTGAATGTGTCTTCCTTTTTTTAAAAAACTTTATTGTTGTTCATAAAGTACAAGGACACAAGTGCACACTAGTAACATAATATGCAATGATTACAATTTTTATACGTTTCTTAATAAACATTCGGCTTTAAACAGTGAGGTTATATCCATTCGACTACTTTCATATTTAACTTTAGAGATGGTATTTTTTCCAACCAATATCAGTTCATTTAAGTGTCTAAATCTTACATCAGAAAGATTATATCCGAGGATTATATCTAGTATGGTTAACACTAGCGTGTGGCCATATTCAGAAAGAAAACACTTTTCATATTCACCTTGAATGTGTCTTCCTGTTCGCCGAGGATCCTTAGTCTTCAGCAGTGCTAATACAAATTGAATTTTTATGATATCTGTACATTTGTTTGTGTGGTGTTTTTTAATGATAAACTTAATCCTAGAGAAGCTGCATATACATTGAAAGTGAAATTCATTCATGGGGTTACTACGATGTGTTTATTTTTTTTTTCACGGTGGTTTGTGAAACCCTGTGTGCAATATGCAGAACTCCAGAGACTCAATATCCTCAATAACCTGCAGATGTTGTAACAGCAGACTAATGTGTCCCTACATTCGTGACGATGTCGTTGATGGCTCTTTTATGCTGGATGGGGAAGTTTTCTGATGCCATCAGTTTGCCGGCATCCGTACACAACCAGTTGGGCTTAGGGGCAATGATTGGTTCATTATGAGGGAAGGGGGGACTGGTCGGTTCTCATTTGCATGACAATAGGTATCGTGTGCCTGGTGGCACACACCTGCAGAATAATAGTTCATTTGCATAGAGACCAGACAGTAGTTGTCTGGTCTGTCTGGGGTTCATTTCTCCGTGGACGTCTTGTGGTTGGTTGGCTGGCTGCCTGTTCCATTTCTGTTACCTTGCCAAAAGTGGGACAGTTTTCGAAAGTCGGCCGTGCAATGGTCTAGTTAGGAGTTTTCTGGTCAGCAGCAATGTAGTCAATGTTCATCCCCTCGTTCTTCAGGAACTCGAGTGATCTGAGGAAACCCATTGTCTCCATGGTCTGCCAAGTCAACCATTATGTACTTTCTCTTTTCCTCCTTGCAGAGACTCGACATCTGATCCCTGCCCAATAAGCCCTGCAGGGTGAATTGCAGTGTGTTACATGTGCCAACCTAAACACGTAAATAAGAATCATGGTTGGTAAGGATGAATCAAGTTCATTAACTTATCCATGCCATTAATCTTAACCTCCTTAGTCATATTAAATGGTCTGCTTCGGTTACTTTTACCTTGGTTGCCTGTATGTACAGAAATGCTTTTATTGGAGTTCCATGTCAATGCAAGTTGAGTATAAGTAAAATAATTCAGAGCTTGAAATCATTTTTCTGCATACAATCAATACAGCAAACGAAAATCCACGTGTATAATATATAAACCTAGTACATGGACCAGTGTACATGTAGGTTAGGTGCAGGTAGAATACTAGTAGTACCTGCATAACCCCAATTTTACCTGCACTAAGGTGCAAATGCATAAGAGTAGTCTTTCGAGCCTGCAACTACAAGAAACACTTCATTTAGCAGTACTTACTTTCATCCATTCGTAGGACTTCATGAAGGGGGTCTTTGTGAAGAATGGCTTTGGTTTCCACCCAAAGCCATGGGGCACCTGGATTTGGAGACACCTTCTATCTGCTACCTCCAAGCCATCCTCCCCCCAAGTCGTCTTTTAGTCTGTGTCATTCACAATGTGGGTGAATCGCCCAATGGTCTTCTCGGCATCCAGGGTCTTGAAAGGGGTCCACATGACCGTTGATAAGGCTGAAGATTTTCTTCACCAGAACCTGTGTGGTGGTAGATCTATTTAAGATAATGCAATTGTCGCCTGAGAAACAGAACTCAATAAACTTACTTGACTAGGTCAACCATATTAATCTGACAGTCTATGGGCCGTAACCAGGGAGCCACCACCTCAAATTTCCACCTGCGTGTATAAACGCAATAACAGACACATAAAGAAACTCACACCCTAGCACAGGATCATACCCTGGTAACTAGGATCATGATAATAATGAGAAATTAAACTTATGGTTCGTTCATTTTTGTTGTCAAACTTTCCTCTCCTATGTTGTCAATGAAGATTCGCATAGGATAGCCTGCGTACATTTGTATGCGGGGCTCCCATACTCGCTCCCTTACAACTAGGCATACAAATATGATGGCACCCAGACTAAGCATAGGCACAACTAACATTTAAAAATGTAGCTTACCTGTATGGCATGCATTAACGGCACGAGTTGGGATCGTAGTATGGAAGGCGGTGCAGCTCTTCCAGACCCTTCTTTCCCGTGGACTTTTCCATCTGCTCCAGTGCCCGCGCTGTGGTTTCCCCTCTGCTCACCCTTTCCTTCATCACCTCCACTGCATGCCCATATGCATACACCTCTTCCTTCGTCTTCTTACGGGGTGCAGGGTCGCCCTCCTCCTCTGGCTTGTTCAGTGTTGTGGTGACTCAGGAGGAAAAAACCTCTCATTGCCCAGATACAGAACCTGATGATAGGCTGGTACTCTTTCCCCTATCGAATAAGGACACAACAAAATTAACCAATATATTGTCAAAGGTCTTTGTGCACCGTGGCCATCATGGATAGACCATATAGGATTTTTCATCCGTTCGTGTGCGTTAGAAAATGTAACATGTTTTGAGGTAATGTGGAGTTCTTTGTCACAAACCTATGCACCATATGCGTATCAGAGGTCCAGATGTATGAAACAGGCAAAACACCGTGCTGACAGCCGCGTTGAACAACAGCCATTGTCCATCCTGCGGCTCATCGGGCACGTCAGAGGTCGAGTAATAACGTACATGACTGCTGCTGACGGATGTCTGATACGGGGCTGAAGTAGCCATGGCCCGCTTTGCGCCGGCCGGTGTCATCGGCGTTTTTATGTTTTCTTAAAAATTTTATGTAGCCGTAACGAAGCCGTGCCCGTATCTGATTCCTATCATGTGTTTCAAAAATCTAATGTTGACGCTAGACGGTTGTGTTTTGTGCCGATATGCGATAAGGCCAGTGTACAACTACACTACAACACATTACATTTTCCTACAAATAACAAAGCTGCTCAAAATAAGCCCCAAGGCCAACAGTATTCTTTGTTGTCTGCATTGTTGATGGTGGCACAACAACTTTTCCGCGATCCTAGGATCAAAGTCTGAGAATCGTGGTTTGATACAAGCATGGAAGTACCCTTTCCCCCAGCTATTCCTCACTGACCCATACTTTTTGTCAAAGTAGGGGTAGTTGTCCTGGTGCTGAATCACCATTAATTACTTTTACTTGTTTTGAGGACATTCGCAACTCTTCCACTTACAGATGATGTTTGTATGCTGGTCCTGAAGATCTTTTACACCCCTGTACAGAGTATGGAAAATGGTACGAAGATCATCATCATCTTCCTTTCCACACACTCTCATGTTCTTAATGAGTTGCTGTAGTGTTTCATTTTTTAATAGTGTTCTCAGATCTTGTCTAGCTTCCATTAACTGCTTCTGTAGTTCTCCTCTTGGGATGTATTGGTAGTTTGTGAAGGGGGATGTACCCTTGGTTTTATGAGAGTTAAACCTTGAGAGCATGGTACAAAGGGTATCATTCTGCTTTCTACACATTGGACAAATATATTTTTCACTTCTGATACAAGTGAAGAGAGTGCAAACAGGGTTTTATTCTTCCCTTCTCATCCATCTTATTCCACCACCACAGTCCACTTTGGCACTTATGTGACCATATTACTTTTTGTCAAAGTAATGGGGTAGTTGTCCCGTTGCTGAATCACCAGATAGCTGATGGAACAGGTTCCCCAAACTGCTGTTTGCACCCCTTGTACTTCTTGAGACTTTTTGATTTGATTTTCAGCACCCATATTACTGTCGCTGTAGGCTTCCGTGTCTTCATGATTGCTACATCAGTCTCTGTAATGTATGAAGAATGCATCATTTTGGATAGCTGACGGGGTATTTTTCTGCTATATGCTGTAATATCCATTGATGGTCTGGGTCAAGGATTGTATTGTTTGTACCTTTAGCCATGGCCGACTTGACTCGTACAAATGACATTGAATGCACACCAATTATCATCTGTTAACAAAGAAGAAATACGTTCTACTGAAAATCATAAAATGAAGCTGCAAATACATTCCATAAGTTACAAATAAATATGGGAATAGATATGTCAGTAAGATCAAACTATTGGCCAGATTATGAATACTATATTAGAGTTTATACATATGAAGTAAACTTCTTGCATATCATCGTCTCCTAGCGTAGTTATAGCCTGTTCAGCATACAGAATGTGCTCTTCAAATATGTTCACGTATAAAAAAAATCAAGAATACACGTTTCACATGCCAATGCAAGTCACATACATAATGTGCTCTTAAAACAAGTTCACCAATGAAAAAAGGGAACAGAGTGTGGGTCAGATATCGTCAATGTTTTGAGGGTGTCACGGAAACATTTTCTGATTTTGTTCTTGCTTAACAACGTGTTACTTTACCGTCAGATCTTGGTTACATTTTCTTTGGTCAGTTGTGACATGTGGCAGTTTGGTGGTGGTGGCTGTAATGTCACCAGTGGACGAGATGCATTTGCATGTCTCGGTGTGTTTGCGTGGCTCGGTCTCTTTGAAGTTTGGCAGTCTGATGAACTGATGATTTATCCTATTTCTAACCTGCTGTGATCGTTTTTGTCTGGTAGTGCCAAACCATTTTATCCTGTCCACAGAGACAACATACAATGTAATAATACCATTGTGTTCTGCTCGCATAAATATATCGCTAACCCATTATTCGTACGAAAAAAAATTGCATTTGTCTGCTCCAGAACAAAACACCAGTTCCCTCGAAACCTCTTCAGTTGAAGTTCTGTAGTGAAAATTGTGTGTATGTTGTACACAAGTCGACATGATTAATGCTTGCCTATCTTTTGATAAATGTTAGGAAAATCAAGGCTTTTGGAATCTAGCACTTGGCGTTCTTTCGTAGACCCCACGGGAGCCTCGCAGGGCCTCGCTACCGAATAGCCTCCTCAGACAGGATGTACACTAGTGCCGCCAGAAAGTAGTACGTTGCAACGACGAAACATCTAGTAGTAAGTGCTAGTTTATAAACTAGTGGTATAATTTCCAGCCTGCGCTATTGTTATCCAATCGTCAAATCCAAAAGTAGAATTATGTTTGTGCCTATATCATTTTGTCGTTGGTATACGAGGTACATCACCCGAGGCGGATGGATATGAGCAAAAATTGCCTTCGCACAACCACCCAGCTTCAGTGGGACCGAAACAGTTGGAGAAGAAGGGCGGTGGTGTGAGGTCGGGCCTCCACATACGGATTTACTTGTAGTTTTGCCTTAGTTTTGCTTTGTCGATTTTGTGATTGTCACCTTACGTGGAAAGAATTTTAGCCCTGTTATGGTTACTTGTATGTAAGTGTTGACATGTTAATGTGGTAGATATTGCTGTTAAATTGATCAAGAGCCGCGCAGTGTTGTGTGAGGCAGTTGGAATGTGTTCTGTCACCAACACATGATGGTCTATGGTGCCTGTATGAAAGTACAGGTATAAATTATTTGTGATGGGGTCTGTTATGCTCTGATGGAAATGGTCTGCTA